ATGGATGCATCTACATATACCTTTCAATTACAGACTGATGCAGCACAAGGTACAGATTCGGCCACTGAGGTCTATGACAAAAAGGAAAAGGAAAATGAAACCGTTTATGTGCTTTCGGTTCCCAATGATATTCCCGTTGTAGACAATGCTGAAATCAAGCTAGAGGGTTTTAAAGATAATAGGAGAGTGAAGTTACCCCAATTGGAGGCCTTTGATAAGGAAGACGAAGTCAGAGTCCGTGTTTCACAGGACAAATCTGATACTTTCCTGTCGAATCATCTGGATGAAGACATCAAGGTAGATGCTTCGTATATGCATGTTGCTGAAGATAGCTATAAACTTGGTGGAAATAATGAGGCTATGGTTAAAGAAGTGCTTGTTGAGGGGAAAGCTGATGTGCTTCAGATCAATAAAGGGTCTGATGCATTGTCTTCCGTTGATGCTGATACAACTGAGAATGAGAAGGACAAGAAAGTCTGTTCTCTTGAAGAACAACAGCCTGTTTATGTTGCTGATGATTTCCATCAGACAGGTTTCTCAGGAAGCATGATAAATGATTTACTTGATGTGAAAACTATGGTTGTGCATGCTGATGTTGAGGCCAGAAAATTAAATAATGTTGATGGCAGTCATGTTATGGTTATTTCTGAAAGGACTGAAACTTCAGTATTTGATATAGCTGGAGGTGACAATATCAGAAGAATTGATGATGAAAATTATGTGAAAAACACAGTAACATCATGTGAAGCTACCCATACTAATCCAGCTTCCAACTTATTTGAAGTTGACAATTCTGATAATATTGCGACAAGAATAACTGAAAAATATGATATCAATGTAGTTGAAAGTGGGGATGGACCAGAGGAGGGATACGGTTCAATAAAGACCAACTCTACATCTGAATCCATTAGCTCTCATCATCAATCCCCAGTTGTCACAGGCGAAGTGAATGAGATTGAAGGCCCGCACTTGGATAGAGTTTCAAACAGTCAAGATGACATAAAGGAATCCAAAATAAGTAGGGATGACAAGGTACAAGGAGAATGTGCTGGCGAAGATCTTATGGCTTCTGCAGTAGACAATAGTGGAGGAAATGAGTTTGAGAGAACATCAGTGGACCAATTGAAGAAAGACTTGATACATTCACCTTCATATTCTGAGCCTACCAGTCAAATTTCTGCTGCTGTTGATGATAGCCATACCAGAGAGTCTGGAGTGGCTGCTTCTGGGACTAGCACTGTAATTTTGCAAGGGGAGGCCGATAATGGCTCTGTTAAACCTCAACTTGATACAACCGTCGGTGATGTTTCAATTGAAGCAAGTAGTCAAACTGATAGTTTGGAAGGACATTGGGGATCTGTTACAGGTACATTAGCATCTACTTGCTTATTAAAGATACGGTGAGAACTATTGTGATATAAACTTATCTTAGCATGATGAAGAATTTCTAATCTGACAACTAACCATTGACGAACTTTATGAAGTTTAGAACTAGTTCGATCTGAAGAAGGCTACTTTAGGTTGATAGACAATTATATATTTAGTATAATGTATTCCTGTGTTTGTGCGTGTGCATATTTTTAGGAATAGTTTTGACTTGGATGGCTGAGACTCTATTACTTGTTTTGCTTTGATTAATTAATCAATCATTGCATTTTCTCCCCTTTTTAACTTTGATTGATGAGCTTCTGTGGTATATTCCTGTGCATCAGTAGATTATGCAAGCTCATCTAGGATGTAACCCTGGCTTTCTATGATATTAATCCATTGATACAACAACACACTAAGCCTTATATCCTATACTCTGGGATCGATTGTATGAAAAACCAAATAAGATAATCAAGTTAGGTTGTAGTTTGAATCTTCTTGCGCCACTCATTTCTATCAACAACCATCTTTTCATCTAATTCCTTAACCATCATATCATTTTTTATTACTTGCATCAATATCTTTCGTGGTCTACCTCTAGATGTTTTGATCTCTCCTAGATCTAGAGACTCAATTCTCCTAACCGGTGCACAGCTAGGCCTACGTTTCATTAATAGATACCTTAATTTATTGCTTAGCATAAAAGTGGCGGCATTGTGTTCCAAGAATTAAGTCCATTTCTTGTTTTTGTGTATGGAACAGATCTTTCAACCCAATCAGATAACCTAGCTGTCATTGACACTGAAACTTTAACATCATCTGGGTCACATGCATTTTCAGAAGCAGAGAAAGCCAACCTAAAGAAGTCAAAAGTTGCATCTGAAGAAAAACATTTTGATAAATCAGAAGAATTTGAGCCACAATCTTTCATGACATTAGTTGAACATAGAGGTGGTGACCAAAAGGCTGCTGTTTCTGCTTTCCAGACAGTACACAATGAAGAAAACCCCAGAGCCGCACCTCTGCAAGTGCAAGCTGGCTGGTTTCCTTCTCTTACTCAGGTGGCAAATGAGTCTAAAGAAAGAAAGAATAACGAAGAGATCATAGAAAAGGTAACTAACTGGAATGCAAAGCAGCACACTCCTCTGAAGAACCTACTAGTTGAAGCCAATGACGAAACCAAACCGAAGTCCCCTAACTCAAAAGAAAACCCAGCTGTTGTTATTCCAAGAGAGGAAAAAGTAGCCAAAGATAATGGAGCCTTGGTTACCAAATTTAGCTCAATTATGAGCCCTGAAACACCTGTAGCTGACCCAACCAACATGGAAGCAGGGAAAGAATGGAATTCTCCTGCAAGGTATCCTGCTGATATTAAGAGAGAGAAAAGGAAAATGAAAGGTAGGCCACTATGGGTACAATTTGTATGCTGCTCATCTGTAAATTAGAATTATAAATGCCCATGACTCTGAATCAAGAGACATCATTGAGTGGGGATGCCTTCTCATTGCATTAATTTATAATTCTCCTTTTTAGCCTTGAATTTAGTGTGCATGTAATTCTGTGCACATATCTTAGCAAACACATCTCATGATCTTTGGTTGTGAGACATGCTTGGGCACTTTTTGGCTATGCAAATAGAGGGTCAAGGAAGAAAATGTGTATTTTATGAGTCATGAGATATTGGCAACATAGTAATAATTAATAAACTTCTTATTATTTATATTTTAATTTATTTTTCATTGAAGAAATTAAATTGCAAGCTTGGTTTAGTAAGAATCTCTGAATTCTTTGTGATAATCACTAGCTAATACCATTTAAAAATTTAATTTTAAAAAATTTAAAATTCATGCATTGCATCAGAAGTTCATAGTGTAATATCTGTTCTGAATTTCATCCAAGGCTTTTTAACATCTTTCATGATCATTATCTTCTCATTTGGATTTAATAAAAGCTCTTAGTATTATTGCCAAAAAAACCATATTACTTGTTCCTCCAATTTTATCTGAAATGTTTGTACTCTGTGAATATTGAATTTGTTGATCAAAATTTCATCATTAGCCTTACAAATACAATAGATTTGTATTAGCAATCTCTCATTTGGATTTAACATTAACATCAGCAACTGAAAGAACCAATACAATGGCTGAAATTGAATTACAAATTCTACTAAACCGGAGAGCAACCTCTGAAGGGATTTCAATCTTTCTTATTTTGATTGGATAAAAAAATTTTAAGTGAATCTTGAAATATTTTCATTTAAATTCAAATTCAACCTAATTTTTAAAATTGAGTATAAAGTTGATTCAAATCCGAAAAATTTATTTTGTTCAAATTCAAATTCAAATAAAATCGATTTAATTTAAAGAAAAATATCTAACAATCTAAAACTCACCCAGTCCAAAATTACAAAATAATAAATTAGTATTTCTTTCATCTTAAAATAATTTCGTCTTAAAATAATTGCCTTTATTATTTTTTATCAAAATAATTTAACTTTGACTTTGATTTTTTAAAATATTATATTGAATTAAAATTTAAAATATATATTTTGAAAAAATTGAAACTCAAATTTATAAATTGTATTTTTAAAAATTTTTAAATTTTATTTTAAAATAATGATCAAAGTTAAATTAATTAGATAAAAAAATCAATAAAACCATAATTCTGGGACAGAAGAAAGAAATATTAAAAATATTAAAAGAAAATTACATCTTTCGCCTTTTCCATTCACACCAAATACTAGTGAATTATCTATTCATACTTGCGTTGGAAAGCTGGAGGCTTAGAAGATTTAGAGATGGAGAATGCAGTAACCCTTAATTTAGAATGCAAAATTACATTCAGATGGCAATCCTCCATCTATAAAAACAATCAGATTTTCATTTTCTCTGGAACCCAATTTCCAAAAGCAACCAACCATTGTTGTCTATCGTCTATCCGCCCATCACCGCCAGCTTCGATTGGCTCTTCTTCCAAAACCCATACAACGCTTCTTGTTGAGACCTATCATCACCATCGAAGGCTCAAGGGCTTACTTGAGAGACTGGAGAAGGAGGACTCTTGCCCTTTACAAATACTTGGAGATGATGGAGATTGGACCAAAGACACCTTCTGGGCTGTCATTAGATTTCTCAGGCACGCCTCCAGATCCAATGAAATCCTCCAGGTGCCTTTTTTTTTTTTGGCTCTTTCTCTGGTTTTCTAATCATGTAATCCTTAAAGTTCTGATTTTTACAGAAATTGGCTGTTGGGGTTTTAAGCATGTAATGATTTATTATGATGCTTTCTTTGAACTGAATGAAATGACAATTTAATTGGTCTCTGAGAAAGTGGATGGAAAAGTTTGGGTTTGAAAATGGGTGGGAAAATACAGTGAAGACAGCTGAACATGGGATGTTTTATACTTTCCCAAATGTCATCATTCTTGTTCATCATTGAATACGCCCTTTGAGGTCTTAAAAAGTTATGTATTTGTGGGCAGGTCTTTCATATGTGGAAGAATATAGAGAAATCAAGAATCAGTGAATTGAACTATGAAAAGATTATAAGATTGTTAGGTGAAGAAGGAATGATAGAAGAAGCAGTCGAGGCACTACGAGAAATGGAGGGTTATGGTCTTCAACCTTCTTTAGAGATTTACAATTCAATCATCCATGCTTATGCGATGAATGGAAAGTTTGATGATGCTTTGTTTTTCCTCAATGAGATGAAAGAAATTGGTTTAGCACCGGAAACTGACACATATGATGGGCTAATTGAAGCATATGGAAAATATAAAATGTATGATGAAATTGGTGCATGCTTGAAGACAATGGAATTGGATCGGTGTCCACCTGACCATTTTACCTATAACTTGCTTATCCGTGAGTTTTCACGTGGTGGGTTGCTCCAAAAAATGGAACGAATTCATCAAATTGTGCTCTCCAAACAGATGAATTTGCAGTCTTCGTCTTTGGTTGCAATGCTTGAGGCTTATGCAAACTTTGGAATTCTAGATAAGATGGAGAAGGTTTATAGAAAGGTTGTGAACTTGACTACTTTAAAGGAGGATACAATTAGGAAATTGGCCAATGTTTATATAAAAAACTACATGTTTTCAAGATTAGATGATCTTGGTATTGATCTTTCTTCAAGAACTGGTAGAAATGATTTTGTTTGGTGTTTGCGCCTTCTTTCTCATGCTTGTCTTTTGAGTCGAAAAGGGATGGATTCCATTATCCAAGAGATGGACGAGGCAAAAGCTTCATGGAATGTAACAATAGCAAATATTATCTTGCTAGCTTATATGAAGATGAAAGATTTCAACCGTTTGAGAAATTTACTTTCTCAATTACCAAGCCATCAAGTAAGACCTGATATAACCACTTTTGGAATTTTATTTGATGCTATCAAGATTGGATTTGATGGGGCTGAAGCTTTAAAGACTTGGAGAAGGATGGGGCTTCTTTACAGAGCTGTAGAAATGAACACTGATCCTCTGGTTCTCATTGCATTTGGAAAGGGGCATTTTCTTAGAGATTGTGAAGAGGTATACACCTCCCTTGAACCTAAAGCCAGGGAAGAAAAAAGATGGACATATCACCACCTTATTGATTCAGTAATTAAACACAGAGCAAAGCAGCCACAGTGTAAGGCTGTCCAACCGAGTCCAGATAAGCTAAACTGAAAGATGCATTTTCCAATTTGGAAGCATCATACTTTCTACAATTAAAACCGATAAACCTTCTCATTACTAGCCAGAATGCAGACTATTTCTGGTAACATCAAGGAAACCAAACCTGATGTAAATTTTTCATGGGACACAATCTATTTGTTTCTATATTACTACTTTTCCCATCTGTATCTTATGTAGAAGTAAACCTGCTTCCTTCATAATGAACAAATTTGATTCAGTCCCATTGATTGCATTGCTTTTTGTAGAAAATTTTGCATAAGTAGATATTGGTCTTCGTGTTCCTTGTTACTGTAGTCTATATCTCCATCATTAATCCATTTGGAAGAAAGAAAGAAAGAAAGGGGTAAGGAAGGAAAACGTTTTAATCTAATGGTTGAGATGCAAAACATGTCTCATTTTGTAGCTCAACCATTATATTAGCACTTTTTCCTTCCTTACCTCTTTCTTTCCTTCCTAAGCTGTCATTATTGGTAGGGGTGTAAACGAACTGAACACGAACAAGCTTTGCTATGTTCGTGATTTGTTGGTTTTTTTTTTTTTTAGGGTTTTTTCAGGATCGGTTCTTGTTCGGTAAGGAATTTTAATTCTATGTTTGAGCTTGATTCGTTTAGGTATTAGGATATTCAAGATTGGATTGGGATTGGCTCGTTTTAGTTAAACAAGCTCTTTCCTTAACATTGGATTAGTACTTTTTCTTTCCTTACCTATTTTTTTCCTTCCTACTAAACAAAGCTGATAATTCATTATTTATATTATGCTTAATCTGTCATTCTGGCATTTATGTATGCTTTATTTCTTTTTCTATTTGCTCATATGTTTTCTTTCAATTCTTGTCTTATGAATTCTAATAAATTAGCTCCCGATTTAGCCTTGCAGTTAGTAATCCTTGCTCGAGTTTCATATTACGCAATCGACATCATCTAACAATTGTTCTTGTTACAAGTGAAGGGAACACAAGTAATGCAGACGCTGCACACATTTCGTAAGCTCTAAATTCAAGTAAATTTCTTCTCTTTTTTTTTTGTCTACAAACAGTTGATATAATAGATATATAAGCATGTGCCATCAGTAGTAATCTCTGCAGCAAAATGCTATTAGGAACGGTGGTGCTTTAATTTTGTTAGTAGATTAGCTGAACAGTTATGGCAGTATCATAGCTAGTCATAGTGTAGGAAAAGTTGCCATCAGCATTATAGTGAAATTGACCTTAACAGATGTAGCAACATTCTTAGATACAAACCATTAGGTTATGAAACACTAGTTCTGCAGAATTTACTTGCTGGTTTTGAAAAGAGAGACAAGATGGCGATTTGTAGACAGTGTTGTAAGGGTAAATACAAAGATTAAGCATAATGTGCCTGTAATACACTGAGGCGGGATACCAGTTGTGGTGATCCTGGTAGTCCTGCAGAGGTGAGTGGACCGGTGAGGCTACTTCACCAGAGCAAACAGCCTCAAGCCATTAACTTCTTGTTCTTCCTATGATAAGTTGTTTGCTAGATTTTTTATACTTAAAGTTACTAGGATTTGAATCCTAGTCATTGGAATTAAGAATTTAACACCTTTCCAGCATGCCACGCTACTGTTGGCTAAATTTATTAGAGCAATTATACATCCAATTGGATTACTAAGCTATTCTAACTGTTGAATTGTATAGTAAATTGTAAATATAAGCAGAATTTTGGTTTTTGTACATGTTACACACGACAGTTTAAGACAAATTGCATTGTCAGCTATTAGCATCTTAGGTAAGAGGTCCAGAAAATCTGAAAAACATTAAATGAAGACTGAAACAGTATTAAGGCTCAGCTATTACCTTCTAATGTTAAAGTGCTGAAAAACATTTCTATTTCTTCAAACAGTCTTTTGTTCCCAGAATTGGTGTCTGAAGATGACTCAGACATCATCAAGTGAATGAGATACTCACAAACTTCACCCAAATCATCTGACGAGGAGACAATCTTCTGAACATGTTTGTCCTTAATATGTTCTTTACTGTTGTTGTATATGCGTTTTCTGCATGCCTGCAACATGAAAAAGAAAATAAATACAGTATATGGTTTTTAGGTCTTGGCCTGCAAGGGAAATATGCATGAACCCAAGTATTTGGACAATGTAATGTTTATTCTTTCTACTTTTCAACAAACATATTTTTGGAAGATAGAATTTAGTTCAATTAGTTCATGCAGTCATCCTTAAAAATTGGCATCTAGCAAATCTAGAATTTAAATTTCAGTACTTGCAATTTCTTTTGCTGTTTCTAGGCTATGCATCCTTTATAAAAAATATATATTTTTGTTTTTTTTTTTAATTATGGTACATAGTGAAACCAACCATTGTGACAATCAAAAGAAATGAGAACAGAAACTATACATATAATAATTAATGTCACCTGGAGCACATGATTGAGACTGGCTATATGCTCTGCCTTCAAGAATCCAGAGTTCAGGAGAGCTCTAAATAAAAGCACCATCTCAGGGCTGACATCCATCACTTTAAGGTTATCAATTATACCAGATATGGAAAGGCCATCAAACACGGTTCTCATCCACCTTGGAATTTTCTGAAGTTTTAGCAATGCAACAGTTACATGAACAGCTGGCTTGTGATGATTAGAGAATGATTTTGATGCTAAGTATGGAACTGCCATAGACATTGTCATTTCCTCCACAATTAGCCTGTACCAATTACTTCTCGCAGCTGCTGATTCCTGCATGTCCGGCTGTGCCCACCCTAAAATTATTGATAAGCAAAGGCAACAGTTCATTGCCACCCTAAAGTCATCATAAAATACCAGACCTTCTAATACAGTCATTATGGACATTAGGTAACCCATGCAGCATTGTAACTCCTCATGTTTCCATTTTTTCTGATATGATATTCCTGAAAGAAACTCCAGCAGGCAAGATGAAGCGACAAGCTTCACCATTGGAGATCCGAAATGTATCAGCCTGCACAAATCGTGGCAGTGAATGTTGATTGCAGAAACTGGTTGTATCATATTTGGTGATTTGAGGAAAGTTTGCCAGTCCAGAACCTCTGGTAGAACAGCACGTAAGCTGACAACAAAGAAGTTAATTTTCACGACATGGATTTATACAGGAGCATTATAAGAAGGTTCTTACCATCTTAAAGAGAAGTAATATAACAAAAGCAAAAATATTAGATTTTCCCCTGAACTTGTTCCCTCGTCATACTCGATTAGAGCAGGTCCCTTTGAAGAGGCAGCCTGGACTATGCTGTTGACGGTAGAGATCAAGGAAGCATTAAAAATTATGCTTTTGGAAGCTTCAATGAGTACTTTTTTGGAAGAATGGTGCAAAATCAAGGAGAGAATGCCCACTAAAAGTAAACCTTCATGATTCCAGCCATACTTTCTGAGTGCAGGAATTAAGTAGTCTATCAACTACAATGAAAATAAAAGACCCATTAATTTCATGAAACCATGAGTACTTGTAAACAAGAAAACTGATACGGTACCTTTGAAGACAATTGAAGCCAAGATTCTCCATCAGAAAGTGTTTCAGCATGCACTGTACTTAAAATGTTAAATAGCAGACGCAAGATGGTCACAAGTAACTCTGAGGAAGAAGAATGACTTGAATTATGATAAACAACCGTTAGTATTGCATTTCCTATGCCATGCAAGCATAGTTGGTCCGACGCAGCTGGAAAGATGTCAATGATTGTTGATATAAGATTTACTACTGCTATAATGTCATGATTTTGTGCTCCTTCTTCGGTAAGCCGTACCAATAAACACATCAAAAGTTCTGCGGCATAGTTATTTCCTGTTGCAACCAACTCTGCAATTACTCTTACATCTATAATGTGGCTATTATCCTGGTGGATGATTATTTGGTTTCCATCTGAGCAATGTCTTACGCAGAATTTTAGAAGTTGGCAAGATAAAGGCTTGCTGATTTTCTCTTGTTGAAACAACCATATCACTGCCACTGGATGAATCGTTGCAGAAGGCAAATCCCATTCACTTTCAGTCAGTATATGGAACAAGATCCTCTCCGCTTCCAGGCTGTGGGAGACTTGATTGTTCACCTTTGCAAGACCTCTACATAGGCCATAAAGATTCAACACTTGCATCATTGTAAATGAGTCAACACACCCAGAGAGGAAATCTACACTGTTAACAAGAATATATTGCTCCAGAGAAGCTAAAACCGATCTCTCATCTGCAAGCCTGTGGAAGATATCAAGAACAGTAGTAAATATAGGTGAAGAACCAATATTAAAAATGCAACTTGAATGGGACGAAAAAACCAGGCTCTCATTTACCAGTCATCACGTAGGCAACTGACATGTAAAAGCAGCAAAACTGCTGCTTGACAAGAAGATAAATCTGAATTATGGGAGTTCTTCTGCCCGAGCAGAAATAGCAAATCAGTAGGATCAGATGGAAGAAACAAAGCAGCATCTCTAATGGGTTGTCCAGCTTGATTTCCCAAAAGAACATCCACAAGTGAACTGAGCATTAGATATACTCTCCATTTCATCTTTTCAGTGGGAAATAATCCTAGACATCCGAATGACAAACTGAACCAAGAGGATGAAAGTAGGACTTTTGCAAGTTCTGTTGCTTGGATATCAGGACTTTGAAGCAATATAAAATGGAATGTTTCCAATACCCCCAGGACAATTTCCTCATCAATTTCATTAATGGCCATGGCAAACCAAGGTAATATATGTGATGTACATATGTCCACGGCACAAGTTCGCAGTTGCAAGTTGCTGGACTTGTTTGCAAAAAACTCTTCGTGACTGTATGAATAGGCTTCTTTAAGAAGGTATAAAGGATGCAAGAGTTGACATGGATCTTTCTCATAGATAGCCAGACAAGCTAAAACAGCATGTTTCAATGATTCTTGAAGTAATGCTGCCAGATTTGAAGCCACTCGAGAAGATGGCAATTTTAAAAGAACTACAAAGGTAGAACAAACCAATAGGAATGTCTCTGGAATCATGCCAATTTCCCCATCTCCATGCCTTTCAAGCATCCTTGACAAAATAAGAGCTAATTCTTCAATGTTAGAGGTTGATGCTATTCCAGGGCAATCATAAACACAGTTTTGTATGAGCTTTAATATGTGAATTTGAGCAGGGTGGAAAGGAACTTCAGCCACATGACGCAGTACTGGAATCAGAGTTGGAAAACCAATAATAAGCCTTTGTCTGAAGGCTTGCTCAGTACAGGGAAAGAGATTAAGAACCTTAAGACAAGAGTAGACCATTGGATCCTTGCATTCTGTTCAACAATTGTAGAATTTCATTACTGCAAAAGCCTCATAGCATGATATCATACATATGTACATAAATATGCAGGCATATTTGTATGTCTGTTAACGAACATAAGCACCATGCACAAATAATAAATACCTGCATAATTTCATGATGAGCACACATGAATTGGGTCATTAGATAATGATAGAATTTGGAAAAAAAAAATGCTGTCATGACTAATTCTCCCGAACAGAACTAGTTAACCATAAATTGAGGTAACATAGTCAATAAAATGCTACAGGAACTTAGTCAATAGAAATAAAATGCTACAAGAACTTAGTCAATAGAATGCTACAAGAACTAGTCAATGTGTAATGACTCGCTGAGGAAACTTGAATGTCTGTTACCTGTTTAGATTTAGTTCACTTACCTGACAATCTTAATATCTCAAACACATAATCCACAATATTTTCTTCTACCAAAATTTGAATCTGTTTGCTGGAAGCATCTCCACATGACAAGTAGTGGAAAATCAGATCCAGTGTGCTGATTTGGACTTGGCTGTCTGATGAAAGCAGTGGACCTTTGATGGCCTCAGCAAACAATACGCTCAATGGGGTTTCTGTTGTTTGCATGAAGTTGTCTGCTTCATCAGAACTCGTGCTGCTTATTTCATTTCCATGTCCATTTCCAAACAATCCAATTTGTACCAAGAGCGTTAAAAAAGCTACAAAAGTAGGATTAGAAACCTTTAGTTTGAGATTGATCATGATGAACTGCAGCTGCATAGATGAAGACGGCCTACTGTGCGGGATGAGCGATCAATACACATCCGCACCCCTGACATTCCTAATAAAGACCCTAATTGAGACCATGATATGCACAACAGCGAGTTAAACCAAACAATGAAGTAGACTGGAGGCAATCACTTTTGAAAGATGTCAACTAGAGTTACATAGTGGAGTTGCCTATCATGGAATGTGACAAAATTTAAACTTCCATGTGGGATTCACAGAAAGTATCAGTTTTTCTTGAATATTTTGGATATATATATATATATATATATATATATATATATATACATACAAAGTAAGTAGACAAACCTACTCCATTCAATCGTACATCATCTCTTTGGGTTTTCAGAAGGGCTTCCATTGACAGACGCAACAGACTAGGACAAAAAGCCCGAAGAACATCTGCTCCTACACAATCTTTAGGTGCATATCCAAGAACGGATAGTTTATACAGAACAAAAAGAATCTCTCCTTGGATTTCATCACTGCAGTAGGAAACAATCATGTAAATAAGTACTACTAACAACCCATATTTAAAACACCAGATTGTAATATCCAGTTTCCTTTGTTTGTTACCTTGGTAATTGAAAACCTGCTACCAAATTGGATACTAGAGCAAATTTGTCTCTGATGTGCATACAGGGATCATCAATTTGACAGTTCAACAGAACTCCCAAGCAGTGAAGCTGGAATTAAAGGTTAACCAGACATAGCAATAGATCAGTTGCCTAAATTTGTTGAGAATATTTCATAAGAGAAAAAGTTTTGCACCTCAAAATTTGCTATATTTTCTTTCATTTTCTCAACCATCATAAAATCGAAAACTCTCGTTCTTTCTCTTATTTTTCCTTGATTTTCTCAGCAACCAAACGCAAACTACGCAAATAACAAGTTCAAACTCACTGAGTCACTACCATACAACAAAGAATAATATCACACCGTTAAATCACAGACGACAATAAGAATTCTAGCTATTCTTTCTTAGGCTTCATTTTTCTCAGCATCCAAACAGAGCCACGACAAAAACAACTTTCAAAACATATACCTACTTACCACATAAAGCTGCCTCCGGCTCCACACCAACGCGCCCGAAGAGAGTTTTTCGGCAACTTGCGCAACGAAATCGGCAGTTACAGAAGCTTTAGCAGAGGCGCAAAGAGCGGAGATTATATCAATGAGTTGTTGAGCGATAGGATCATCGTCGAAGGAAGAGAGCGCGTGGAGGAGAGGGGAAATAAGGAAGTGAGGGTGGAACGAAAGAAGCGAGTTAAGGAAAAGAGGTTGGGAAATAGCGTTGGAGAGTTGGGAGAGAGCGTAGGAGACGTGGAGAGTGGGAGTCCGTGGGTTGGAGATGAGGTTGGAGAGGCAGAGGAGGCAGATCGAGCCGCCTTGTTCGGTGCGGAGGGAGAGGGTGGTCCGGTGGCCTTGGGAGCATTGGATTATAGCTGCTTCTTGATCGAGAGAGACCGGTTCTTGTGAATCTTCCAACATCATTTTCGGAGAGAGAGCGAGCAGTTGATTTTTGAATTTAAGCGGGAGCGGGGCTTTATTAATACTTTATATAAATATAACTAACAAAAAAACTAATTTTTATTTCTTATAAAAAACCAAAAATTAAAATATCATAATTCGTTTTAATTCTTTACATATTAAATATTTTTTAATTTTAATTTTTATCATATAAAAATTTTATTATAATTTAAATCATATCATTTTTATTTTTTATATTATATTCGTTTTGCATCACCTTTCATTTATTTAAAATTATAAATTTTAATTTTATATTCTAATCTCTTTTTTTTTTCTTTTTTTTTCTTTTACATTAGCTTTTTTCCGCTATTTTATTTCATTTTTTGTTTTCCCCCTCTTTTTACATTGTTTCTTCCCCTTTTTTTAGTATCATTTTCTCAGCTCTTTCCTCACCAAGCCTGTTTCTTAATTCACTTAGTTGCTTTGTTACCACTGCCTTTCCAACAAAATTTGCAAAAGATTAAAAAGAAAATTAACCATGATGAAACAAAAATCCAGATTCCATCAGCTTATGGCTTACCAAACCTGAAAGGAGTCGTCTTTGAATTTCAAGCAAAGTATTTTGAACTTTGACGTGTGGGCTGAGACAAAACAAAAACAAAATGACCCATGTTCTCAACCTAGGCAATGAGTATATGACCTGAAATTCAGTACACAAACATATCCAACTGTGACCTGATTGAATTCACAAAAGGAGAAAAAAATTCCTGTCTAAATATATTCCTACTGAAACAGGGGATCCTCAAACTTACATTCTCATCATCATATACCTTCCTTTCCCTATAAATGTAAAAACTCAGACCAACCTCTTTGTCGCATCCCTTATTCGTTCAAGGAAGCAAATACCTCTCCAACGCAGCGGCGCCCCCAAAGAATGATATTTGCTATCCTTATTTTCCCAAATATCGTGGGGTCTGACCTCTTGTTGATGAAATTTATGGAAAGGAAAAGAACCGAAGGAACCAGAGGATGTATAACAGGATACAGAACTCACACTGAGGGGATTTCCCGTACTAGAAACCAAAGTGTTTCAACTATTTTCTACAATCAAGATTGCACAGCCAACCTCTGAAGATGCTCGAAGAAGACTTGTAAGCTTACATCATCCGTAAAGATTATATCTGATCCAACAGCTACATCGGTGGCATTATTGTATGTTGCTGATGGGTTCAACTTTGCTAACAAAAATCTTGCCTGCACAAGGAAACAAAAATAAGCCACTTGGGTAATGAAAAAAGCCCAATTTAATTTTTTTAGAAAAAAGAGTAACAGTTTTATGCCTCCAAGGTAAAAATACAGAATTGGCTTGGTGAGTAACAAAAAATGGAAATGGAGGGGGGTATTGAATTATTAATATTAGAAACTTTGGCTTCGCAAATCAAGTGCAGAAGCTCGACTAATGGACCCAAAAGTGGCAAAGCCACAATCATGACACCCCTCTTTTTTGTGGATTTGATTAGAGGGATTTGGCATGGTTCAATTCAGACCCAACACTTGTGAATTCATAACATAGAAAACCAGTTACTGGTATCTGTGCAAAACTGTACAGGAAAACATGAAGCCACATAATACTGCTAAATGGTAAATGATTTCCCCAAGTGCCCTTTAGGTGTACCTAAAAAGGTGATACTCATACTAAGAGGCAAGGATAGCTTAGCTCAAGACAGCCTAGCTTTTCAAAATCATTGTTTGATAGATAACAAAGGAATATATTCGCATCAGGATATTCCAAACTAGACAGTCAGTAAGGTCAAAAAAAAAAAAAAAACACTGAAACAATTGGTAAGGTCCCCAATCTACTGCTAACCAGTTCAAATTCACTAAAAATGGGAAAAAGCAACGAAATAAGGAAATGTTAAGATAGCTATATGCTGCTACCTAACCGTAACATCAGACTGAAGGAAAAGGTCAAGATGAACACGAAACTAGATGAATAGAAGAATATAGTGATCACATCATAGCGGAAAAAAAAGTTATCAACGCTAAACCCACAGAAGGTACCATGAACCAGAAATGCTGAATGATCAAGCTAAATTGTAACAATAAAACAGTCTGTGCTTGCTACCTTTATCAAGCTTCTGAGGATTTGTGCAAAGAATTCAGAGCAAATTAGATGTACTTGCACTCTCGGTTTAACCACCATAACAAATGTACTTTAGAAAGTGTAAATTTTCTTTAAGATTGTGTTGCAAAATTTAAAATAATTCAGACAGAAGCGACACTTTGTAGTAGCATCTATTTAAAAATGATGAAATTCACAAAGGACAAATCAAGGACACATTTTATATCTCCAAAAATATCAGTTTAAGAAATGTACTGACCTGGGATCCATGCTGATCACATACAACCAATCTAGGGACAGGGAAGCGTTCCCGAATAATCATTTGGGCATCGACATGGGGTGCTTGCAAAAGCTGTGCAAATGCCTGTTGAAAAAAAAATTAAGGTTTAGACAACAGAATCATAGACTGTAGGAACATAGATATTGGGTACTAACCAGTGGAACTTAAGCTGCATTAGAGACTTCATTGAAGAACAGGCAAATTCCCAACAATCTAATATAATATTGCAATTCAGAGCTTAACAAATAATGGACATTGCAAACGAAATATGCCATAACCATATCTCTCACCCCTGGAACAAGTCCCTATGTTCCTCTATTATACAAATTTTAACTCTCCAAAATAACAGAAGTGCAAAAGTACAAGAAGTACATCATATAGAAGAAAATTGAAGTTCAAAACCAGCACCTAGGTTATAAGCCACTATATGACATAGGAGAAAGTCAGTAGCAAATACAAAAATTATCAATGAAAGTTCTTAAACCGGTAAAGATAGAACCAGGTTAAATAAAGCCAATTGCCTGGTAAGGATATCTTATTGGCATCCTCTTCCTATAGCTTAGAGTAAAGCATTGCCAGATGAACATAAAATGAGCAATTATTTAGCTTTAGAAATGAGACATTATAAAGTATGCATAAAACACTTATTAATCCTATAAACTGGTCCAATATATGATGCCAGGAGTCATTTCAACAAACACGACTATGCACCAGCCTTATCCAACAAAGCATACTCTATTTTAGAAGAAATTCATAATATTCACTATATTTTAGCATATCATTATGATTAACCTCATAGTTTCCATTTCAGAGCTACAAGGTGGTGGTACAAGGGGTTTTCTTCTGTCAGTAGTTTAGGATAAATATCTCACAAGAATGAGTAATATTATAATAAGAATAATAAAACTTTACTACTGGCTTAGAGAGACCTCAAAATCACCACAGCTCCAGCTTATCTCAAACTGAAAGTGATCAAACATTATTATCTTAATGTAAAAAGAAGACCAACATCAGGCATGTTTACTGAAAGTCACTTTGGAACATTATGAATGTAATGGTTCTAAAGAAATATTTACATTAAACTCTAGATTACGGTAGCATAAACAAAATGAACATACCTGGTGTTCCGGCTGATTCTGGTAGCCCATGTTGCGCCACTGCGCTATTGTCATACCATGGAAAACAACAATACTGAAATATGAATCCAGCAAGAGAATACGATCAGCTGAAATGGAAGCCACATCCAATAATGCTGGTTGGGGCAGCGAGTTGAATGAATATGATATTAATGATGGTTGAATCATAACAGCTGCATTAGTAATATTTTCCCTGTTCAATAACATTCTAAAATAGGCAGTTTCATCTGGACTGTTGTTAAAAACCTGCCACATAAAAGGAAAGAAAATTCATTTATGAACATAGGTCAATTAAATGTTATATAAACAGTAGGAAATTAGAAAAAAGAAACAATTACCTGTACAAATTGTGACCGCCGCAGATTAAACATAAATTGAGGAAACAAAGAAAAGCAAGGGTTTAAGGTAAAAGATGATGGATCATCCTTCTGGTAGTCGCCAAATTTGGAACAAAGTCGAATGAGATTCCGATCTAACCACCGTGTAGCATCAAACCCCTCCTAAATGAAACAAAAAGACATAATAATTAATTAGAAAAAATTATCACAAGCAACATTTAACCATGTTATTGTATTGGCAAGGAGTCAACAAATAATAGATAGAAAATATAAAAAAGGGGGCAGGTCAAGGCTAGGAGAAAAGCAAGTAGAGAGAACCACTAAAAAATAGGGCAAAAAGTTAAGAGAGAAAGTTGTTATCCATAATACAAATACAGAAAAAGAATGGACATTACTTGATAAAAAAATCATAAGTAACTAAGCAGAAGGTATCAGCTAAATAAGCTATAGGTTGACAGTGAATACATCCAAACAAGAAATACAACAAACTTTAGAAAAATGAATAAAAGATTTTTTAAATTACCTCTGTCTCCATTTTCAGGGAAGCTATTCTTGCCATTACAACAGCCGCAGTCTCTTGATCAAAACCTTGTACTAGTTCCTAGAAAGGAGATATTATTGAAAGTAAGCATAAATTAATTCCAACAAATTCTCAAGGAAAATAATCAATCATATATACAAACAAAACGCATATGGCAGTGACATTTATATGCATCAGAAAACATACCATGTCTATACCCCCCAGCGTAAATTAATTCCAACAAAAATAATCAATCATATACATGGACCAAGATGCATATGGCAGTGACATTTATACACATCAGACAACATACCATGTCTAAATTCAACACCCCCTATAACCCCCCCCCCAAAAAAAAAAGGAAAAAAACTCTTAAATATGGCCAAATTACATATTTAACAAAACACAAAAATGGATGAAATGGAAAAAATGAAAATTATACACTTAGATGTTTTAGACAATTTAAACAACCAAAAGTACAAAAATATCTATCTAAACTAACCTCTACACTAACAGCACTGTCTACCCATTGTCTTGTCACAGTCGTAACTCGAAGCATCAATTTACCTTCAGGGTCCTGATAACTGCAATTAGATAAACAACATCACAATCAAATCCAGTGTTGTCAAGGGAACAAGATGGGCACTAGGCACTTGAACCCTTATATTACTGGAGAGACAAGGTGCAAAAAAAGCCCTCGCCCGAGTGAAATCAGGCGCAATATGTCTAAGCGTGTGTACATGTGCATGTGCATGTGCATGTGCATGTGCATGTGCATCTGTGTATATAATAGGCTTAAGATTTCTGATAATAAACTCTTAAGGGTGATCCAGTTATCCGACGAAACATGCAAAATTTTCCTGTTCTTTTTTTGGCCAATATGCATGATTTCGTTATGATACCATGTTTATTGTTGAATACTCAAACATTGAGAAGTAGAGAGCTCGATATTGTCCTTTTTTTTTTCACTACTAAAGGTAGAGTTTACAAAAAAATTAAAAATTAAAGAAATTAAAGAGAACTTCAACAAGGCAGGCTTTTTTGCGCCTACTGCCTTAAAAAAAGTGCACCAGGTGTGCACCTGTTCAAATGCACCTAGAGGCACTTTTGTTATCTGGCACCAAAGCGCAACACCTGGGCACTTGCCTTAACAACACTGATCAAATTACTAAAGGAACAAAGTAAAGAAACAATCAAATATATTTAACATTAAGGTAAATAAAAAGACCCTTTTGGGTGGTTCATGCAGCAAACCTAGTAAGAAATTGCAAATAGAGCTGTGGATTTGCAGCTCCTGGAACATTTGATCGCTCAGTTGATGAAAGATCAAATAAAACCGTCAAGCAAGTACTCCTGTTGAGGCCACACATTTTCCATGCTGTAGTGTTCCCCTCCCCAACGACTGTGTCAGCGACATTAGGTCCTTTCTGCAACACTCATGGCAATCAGCTTAAATGCCCATAAATACAAGTAAATCCAGTCTACAGTTTAGAGTGTGTATCTATATAGAGAGACCAAGAGATGTTATTAAATTGTTAAATCATCCAACCTTCTCCAAAGATGTGCAAGGTCCAATGACCCCCTGAATCTTGATGTCTTTTGAACAGTTAATCTCGAGCATGCCACTAAAAAGAAAAATTAAAAAAAAAAGTAGCTTATAATAAGTTTGAAATTTTATACTACAGCTAAAATAGTTGAAATTTCTGGGTGCTCCAAACCATGCCATAGCCAATCATAAATTACAGATGATGCATGTGGATAAAAAAACTTAAGCTAAAGCAATTGCAAAATTAAAGCTAATGCCGGACCAAATAAATTAATTTCATGGGTAACCACATGGTAGCGAGAGTTCATTTCTGGCAATCAGCATTAAATTTAAAATCAGGATTTTAACAGAAATCAACAATAACACTCCCACTGTAGCGTCATAATACTGACACCTCTTTCAACAATACAAGCACAGGCATTGGCAACATTTAGAAAACCTATGAAGCCAAAAGAGTAACGCCAATATAGAATACCAGTGTATAGTCATTTTCATATACCAATTTGATAAACTTGTGCTCTGCTTCCAGCAGAATAGCAAGGTCAGCAAGCTATGTCAAAAATTTACATTCTCTAACAGCAGCATCACCTAGTGCTGAATGGTGTCACAACTAAGTTAAAGGCACACGGGGTGGTTGGCACATCTAGAACTCAAACAAATAATACAAGGACAACTAGAACTGGAATAAAAATATAAGTTCACCAATTAAGAATGCAACTATATAGTTATCAACAACATGGATAAGAGAAGAGAAAAGTAAACTTAAAAAGTTGAAAAAGAACAAGAAGCTTTGGTGTGGTGACAAGAACTAACTTAAAACATAGGCCAAGAGACTGTTCTCCATCCTCAAAGACACGCTTGAAAGAGTCTTTGAATACAGAATGACCAAAACTTTCAGCTAGAACAACAAGGCCACCTGTCCTTTCAACTGCAACTTTCATTTCAGCAACTCCAACCTGACAACACACAAAAAAACCATAACATATTTATGTACAGTTAACATTTTGAAGATTATTAATGTCTGAAATGATTGACATTCATTTAAAATAAAAGGTTTGTACCCATGGTAAATGCAATAACTATTAGAATCCAGTCATCCACAGTTTTCTATACAATAAAACATTTACATCACAGCCCACAACTTGAAGAAGCATGGCAAAAATCAAGCCTTAATGTCCTCATATTTCCACTGTGTCTTAAATAATTGGTAAATTATAAATGAGAGAGAGAGAGTTTTGTAAAGTAAGAATTACATATGGGGTAGTTCAAATTTCCAAATAAAATTAGGGTCCTTGTATCCTATCAGCTTCAGCAGGTTCTTCAATCCATCAGACCGATTAAGAGGACAGGAAAGAACCAAAAAGTTTTGTCTAATGAATCCATCCTTATTAATAGAGTGATACAACTTCTAACTAGGTTGGACAGAAGATGAAAGCCAACACATTACAGGTATGAAATAAGTGCATTGAAGCAAATCAACCTAGTTCTGGCATAGAGACAGATTCATCAACAAAAAAAGAGTTTAAATATAAATATAGAACCTAAAAGGTGGCCAAACAGACCTGATCAAGTGCAGATGCAAAAAGGTCTAGTACATGACCCTGGCTGACCAGCTGTTTTGCAAGACTATCATAAAATTTGACCGCTTTCTTAAAATATGGTGCAGCATCCTTATCCAGATCTTTATGTGAACGTACAGGTTCTGACAAGTCTTTCGATACAATCTGCAAAAATCATATAAATCAGTATCATCTTGATGACAACCAAGAATGTTAATACAAATTAAACAAGAAGCAATGCTCAAATGAAGATTATTTCCTTAATCTCCATTTTCTCAATTAAATCATTGTTGCATATGAATTATTCCTACAACTACAATGTAATTAAGAACGACACTTGTCTTGCACAAAGAAACAGTAAACATTAAGGCAACAAGCCAGCAAGCTATATGAAATTATAGGGTAACATGAAAGTTTGACAAAAACGTTGGAGACATAATGGAGCTAACAGGAATAATCTTTATGAAATAAAATTTCTCTTTTTAACCAATTGTACAAAGTAAATGCACCAACATTCAAAGCTAATCAAACAAAGATGGAGCCTCTAAACATAGCCATGTTTCATATTACAATGGGCTCCAGTTGTTGTGATCTGTCTACAAATTCATTTTGCTTCTGTATGGATTGCCTGCAGCTTTTATCAAATATCATCCCCAAAAAAACATGGGACAGAAACTTTACATTATTTACACACAAAAAAAAAGTTGTAACCATAGAGAAAAGTAAAATGCAAAAATATATTATTGAAACAACAGCGAATGGAACATTCAGGATTGCAGAAAAAATAAAGTTCATACTAATTACAACATACCATATCCATCTCAACCATCACATATTATTTGCGTTAGATCCCATAAACTACATACAGTTCATGAGAAAACAAATGATAAATGCCTCACTAACGATTGTATCACTTAATTGTAGAATAGCTACGAATTCAGAATCTCAACAGAGACTTTAATGGCATTACCGTGCCTGGCCCTTCAGTACATGGACCACCAACCAAAGCAACAATCCTAGCACCAGTACCAGGCAAGCAGGCTCCAAGCAATCCTACTGCAACACTTAAGGCCACTCCGGTGCACCTCAACGCCCGGTGTCCCGCTTGTACAGGCCATTGATCCGTTTGCAACTCATCCAACAACTACATTTAAATCAACCAACCACTTAATAAAAAAATTCAAACATTTAAAAAATTAATTCCCACGACAAAAAGAAAAATCAAAACGCACCGAATTGAGAGTGTATTCGCAATCTGAAGCAGGCAATAAAAACCGGTTAACGCCGGTATTTGTATATCCATTTTGCAGGCCTTTCGGATACCCAGCGGTTGGCCGCCGCCCAGCAGCACCGAGGCCCAACTGCTCCAACACTTGCTCCTTGGAAATCTCCTTACTACCCGTGAAAACATAGACCTTCGACATATCCGAGAACCCCAATTCATGGACCTGTGCCTGAGTCCCAAAAGAAACGAAACCGACAAGCGCGTGTTCTGGCAACAATCCAATAGCCTGCTTCATCGCCGATTTAACAAACCCAAGCTCCTCCTCGATCATGCACGTGTCCAACACGAACACAAACACTGGCGGCAATTGAGGAGCATTGGAAGGGTTGTTTGGATCGGGAGTCGGTTGGAGCGTGTACTGCACAGTGGTGTATTGCGGGTAGAGTTCGCATGGCAGGTTCGTTTCGGAGATCATAGCATAGTGAGGCGGAAAATGGTTACGCTGGTAACAGAACGGGCAGATCCAGATCTTGGCCGTGAAGTCAACGCGCGAGTAGGCGTTGAGGACGGCCGAACACGTCTTGCATCGTAGAGGAGCGTAAGGGAGCGTTGGGATATCCGGGTGTGAACGGATCGGAGTAATTGAAGCCGCTAACGGAATCACACACTTGCTGGCTTCGACTTTGGTGCGCGGCCAAACGTTCCACGTCATCCGTACGGCGTCTATCCCTTCAGGATCCGCGTTCGCCAT